GGTATGGATGGAGTGGGTGTGGCCTACTGGGTAGGTGTGACGAGCTCTACATCGTTCGCATCAAGGGTGGCTGTGGGGGCCTGGGCAGGAGTGGGATATCTGAGGGTCTCTGGCAGAAGGGAGTGGGACTGGGGCAAGTGCCTAGGCATGGTCCACTGGAGGAGTCTCACTGTTCCTCTTAGGCCATGCAGGGGGGTACTTATGGAGCTAAGACTGAATGTGTTTCAGCATATATGGCCACCACAAAATTGTACATTGCCTCCTGGCTGGCCTGGGCCAGGGCCAAGGCAGAGGGGCTGTTCCCTCATTGTTTCCAGGATGGCTTCGCGGGCCACATGAAACCACTTCACAGACCGCATCCGCCCCCCCCCCCAGGCCTTGTGTTTGACATGTCTGTGCTAAGGTATAGTTTGCCTTAATAATAGTGACTTAAATAAAGCCCAATTGGCTGAATCTAATGTATTAAGTCATAATACAGGATTTACAAGCCAGAATGGTGTGGATGTGTCAGGAGAATTTTTCAAAAATATTTTTTAAATCATAAAAAGGTAACTAGCTATCAAAAACGGGAGCACCATTTTTTTAAAAAATTCTCTTGGGGTTCCATACGTACGTTTATACATCCTTTAAAACCACAATGTCACATTCAGTTTTTTCTTAAGAGTGTACAGTCACAACCCACCTACTGTATTGCTGTAGAACTACAATTTGTGGCTTGGCATGATGTGTGAATTTTACTTTCTCCAACAAATCATAGCTCTGAACAGCATGTGCACGGAGGTCAGTAGTGTTCTGTATGCAGGTTTCCCGAATTCCTGTTTGTTTGTTGTATAGGAGAAGCAGCGTTCAGTCGCAGCCCTTCTTCGGCAGCATGGGAGAGTTCCCTGGGGATGGGAAATGATTATGCAGAATTTTCCTGCTCTCCAACGTGCTTTGATGCCTACATTTATGAAGTTGAACTGTCAAGAAGGAACTCTGCTTCAGTCTGCCGCTTTCTAATCAGGCCCTGAGTTGTGAAAACTAGGGAATTCTCTAGGACCTGTCCCAGACAGTCCCTGGGGAGGAGCAGTCTCCATTCAGCACTTCCTCTCTTGTGTCAGCTAGAGTCAGATAAATATACAACGCACAAATGCCAGATTAGCCACTAATGCAAAGCCATGCCCCGAACAGCTGGGGAGACTGGAATCCAAAGAGTCTTAGCTTTTCCATTTGCAGTGGGGGAGGGGAGGGATTTCATTAACAGGGAAGGAATCGGGGCAGGGCAGCAAGCCTTTTGCTCATTCTTTTATACCACTGCATCTGTTCTGCCTGGATGGTTTACTAGCTGATTGATTTTGTTCCAGTTTCTATTGCTTCCTAGGAACAGGGAAGCCTCCTACAACGCTGGCGACCAATCTTCCCCGAGCGTAATTTCTTTTAAAATCATTTTTATTCTTCTTGTTTTCATTAACGGAAGACCAAAAAAAAAAAAAGCAGAAAGAAAATAAATGCAAAAGTTGTTGAATAAAATAAAATAAATAAATAAATAAATAAACGTGGGGTTTGTGATGAAACACTGTGATACTCCTTTCATCATTCTGATGAAAGCAGTGAGAGCCTGAGGATGCCGTTGTGAACGGATCCAGGAACACGGGCCCTGCATGTACCGTATTCTGAAAAACGGCCTCATTTCTTATTACAAAATACAAGCTTCCTTAAGTCAAGCTTAGCTTCTTGTAATTGCATGGGCATCTCCCTGTAGTTGTTTCAAGAGTAGTACAGAAATGATTGGCTGTTTTCTTTCATCAACATTTTTCTTGGTGACTAAATCTAGTCCTGGGGTTTTTCTGGTAATCTCTCATTCAGGTGCTAGCCATGTTCAGCCTTGCTTAACTTTTGAGTGGGAGAAAAGAAGCAACGCTTCAGCTCAATCCTTTGCTGAGCAACTGAACAAATAACTTGACAAACAGGACACGCTGTATTGATGATATGCACAAATGTCCCACCATTTCAATATATCAGTCAGTGTTAAGGTCACGGATAAGTTTGCAGGTGCAATGAATTATAAGTTTTTATCAAGTACAGATAACCTATGGAAAGCACTAACCCTACAATCTGTATCTAAGATGAGAAAGTACATTAGATTGTTTGGTTTTGACTTAACTGATTACACGACCCTAACTTCTGCAGGTTGCAAATCATGGGTTACTGCTTAGTTCATCACCACTGCAACTTACTCAATACAAGGGTTCAATATGACGTGTGACATTTGATTTCTATGTGACGTGGGGTGGTTTTTAAAGAGAAGCAGGACATTTTTTTCATGCTTACAACTTCTTAACCCACTTCAAAGCAAGAAATAGTTGTTTTCCTCCAATTTCCTTGTCTTGTGTTTATATGTGTGGGAGGAAGGAATCAAAGTAGAATTATTTTCCCTCTGGGAGGAAGACAATTAATGGGATCAGAGCTGGGAATTTTAGGGATTACTTGTTCTAAGGGAAACAATTCTTCTGCCTGGGGGGCTGGTGGTGAATGCTAGTGAAGCACCAACAGCACCCAGTGCTTAAGCTGAATCAAAATGTGGGAAGCCTTGGCCCTACCAGATTGGTTGATCAGTTGCTTCCACTTTGTTGATAATCTGCCAAGCTTCTTGATTCAGGCAAAGGCCTTGATATATTTTTCTAACGTTTTCAAATTATTTTTGTCGCATGCTAATAGACAGAACCTTTTTTTCTCCTGTAAACCAAATATGATTGGCATTAGAAACTTATATTAAATCTCTGTTTACAATAAAATTTAAAATGACTCACAGTTCAAAAGGATTCCCCTTCTATTTCCTTCTTCAGAATCTGCTCCATGAATAGCTAATCTCTGTATGGCTAAACTCTTGTCTGCATTTAGCTGCATCTGAAAAGAGTTTCGTAAGCCTCTAGAGATATGATCATAGTAGCCCAGTGGCCATAAACATGCTCTGAAGTGTAAATAACTTGTCCTTAGAGCATTTGTCAGGACAAGAGCAATCAGAACCTGGAGACAAGAACTTTTAAAAAAGATATCCAAAGAAACCACTCAGTCTTTATCCAAGCATAAAGTGAGGCAAGGGTGTAACAAGAAAATATAAGCTTTTTAAATGTATAGCAATATGGAACAAGTTATAGGTTGGTGCACTATAAAATTGACCTTATCATTTTTCTATTTGAACTAGGAACTGAGTTGTTGGATTTTACTTGGTGATGACAATTTCAGAACCACTAAAACAAACTACCATTTCCTTCCCTTCAGTGTAGTTCCTCATGTCTCCTTTTGGATCTATTTACTTTTTCCTTAATAGCCATTTCTGGTAGGACTCTAATTTTTTCTATTGCAGGTAATCGCTACAGATAAATATGAGGACAAAGAAATGTTGAAAACAGAGGCATTGATTATATGCCATCAAAATGGTATTGGCTCCTAGGGACCACATAGATCAGTGGTTCTCAACCTGTGGGTCGGGACCCCATTTGGGGTCGAACGACCATTTCATGGGGTTGCCAAACAATGCAGTCCGCCATTTTTTCCCCCTTTTCCTTAGCTGTGCTACTCCCTTTTATTCTATTGGCTTTTGAAAGCCAATAGAATAGACTCTCTTGAATAGAGTCTAATTCTATTGGCTTTCAAAAACCAATAGGAATTGTCCAGGCTGTCTCTGCCCTGCTGAGCCCGCCAAAAGTCCCATTCTGCAAATAGTGCTGCACCAGTTGAGTAGTCCTCAACTTACGACCGGTTGAGTAGTCTTCGACTTACGACCGGTTGGGGGTTGCAGCATTAAAAAGGTTGAGAACTACTGACATAGATAAGTGTTCACCATTAGAATCTATCCGTAGCATGTTCTCTCAAATCTCCCAAATAGCACACTCATTGCCACTGTAACTAAGTCCACCTATCTTGTGCTGGTCATCCTCTTCTTTTTGCTTCTGCCTTTCCTAGCATTAGAGCCTTTTCACATGATGTGTCCAAAGTAGGATAATTTGAGCCTGGTCATTTGTGTCTTGAGTGAGAACTCTGGATTGATCTGTTTGATGATCCCTTGGTTTTTGTTTTTTGTTTTGCTATCCGCAGTATTCTCAGCAGTCTCTTCCAATACCAATAGAGGTGTGGTGGCTGCATTAACTTTGTTATCCATCAGCACATAATGCCAGAGTTGGAATCTGCATTCTGATGGATGGACTACATCTCTGAACATTCCTCACCAAGAGCCAGGCTGGCCAATAGTTGTATCATGTTCAGCAACATCAGTGTGGCCACAATATTCCCCTACTTCTGACATAAAACCATATATTGGATTTATGCAGTATATTAAGCCATAAGCTGTTTAACTTAAGATTTGTGTGATCTTAGAAATTGTGGTTTCGACATGGCTTAGTGTGTTGTATAAACCTTGTCGGTTATGGCTTATTTGACAATGTATGATTAAGTCAATATGGCTTGGCATGATATATTAACACCCATCTGCAATTCAGGTCTTATGTACATAAGACCTGAATTGCAGGTGGGTGCTAATGCATCATGCCAAGTCATATTAACTTAATTTACTTCTTTAAAAGTTTTTGGTAGCTGCCCATCATATGCGGCATAACCCTAAGCAACTCACAAGTTGCAATAAGGTACCAGTAAAGAATAGTAAAGAAAATATAAAAACCAATCAAAAAGTCTTTCTGGCTTCCCTAAATGTAATACATCCCCACTTGTCCAGAAAGAAACTTGAATGCATTTCTGGGCTCCAACCTCACAAGTTCTAAGGCTAGTGGGAAAAGCCAAGTCATCATTGTTTTTCAGAAAACCAGGAGGGTAGGGGACTAGGAAGGTAGGTGTGTCCCAAAGGGTAGGGCCCACTACCAAGAAAGCATGCTGTCTTGGCCCTGCTAGGTAGCATTTACTGTAAGGGATCTGGAATGTACCCGCCCTATCAGGATATCTACTCAAAATGGAAATATATAGAATGCACCTAAAACATGAAAATTATGCAGACATAAAGAAAGATAATCTTTTATAGAACAAATGCTTTATTGGATTTCAGATTCCAGTGATTGAGAGAACACAACATTTATAAAATTCTCCATGTTTCAGGTTGGAGACAGTTTTCAGGGACACAACTGGTGCCTGATATTCTGTTTATTGACACATTCATGGGTTATGAAGTCATACTCAAGTCAGCATGGTCCAGCAATAGAAAATGCAATGCTCAAGGCAGTTTTGGTTTGGGTCCATGGTCCCCAAAAGCACACTGCTTCAGCCAAAATTTTGCTATTGCTACCTGATGTCATCTCCCACCTTGCCCAACTTTACATTTAGACTTTACTGGGTTGCTTTGCTTATAAAAATGGTCTAGATGATACAGCGAGTTTGCTAGTTTGGATAACTCAATGGAATGAGAACGGAGTAAAAAACCCAAAGGGAAAAATATTCCCAATGCATCTTATGGGAGAAGTAGTTGGGCAATAGCCTGGAATTCTTCTGATTGCTCCATTCTTAAGTCCTTCTACTTCCTGGTCATTTGACTGAGAATAGTTACTACTGTATTAAGAGGTTGGAAAGAATTCCAAAAGCCATATCCACAAGTTTTCTCTATTGTGTTTTACAAGCAACACCACACATAGCTATAGTTTCTCATTCTAAAAAAGTTCTTTAATCCTTAAATTATCTGCTTGTTAACCATACACTTGTTGCATTCTCTTAATTGCAAACCATGCACCTGGAAACCATATGTCTGAGGGAATTCTGTTGCTCAAAACAGCCAAGAGTTAGATGAACCTGTGGTTCAAATCAGCAAAAGTACATTTTGGGTATTAATGGCAACACCCTACCTATGGTGTTAAGGCTGAAGTGAGAGAGGAACCTGAAGCTGTGACACAAAGCAGAAATCAGAATCAAAGGACAGAATAGGAGATATGATCAATGAACACATCCAGAATCAGAATTGAGAACAACCCCCAAAATGCAAATTTTGAATGGGCTTTGATTTTGCTCTTACAGCAGCACTATGTTTCTGGATTCCCAAGATAAGATCCTGCTAAGCAGTCCAAACAATTTTCTCACAGCTTGACTCTCCAAAATGTTGAATTGCGAAAAGCTACCGTATTTGGTTCTGGATCAATTTCCCATTGATAAGAAATCCCATAACCATGTCCTCTTGGCTTCTTAGCTAACCCACTCCCCCCTCCAGCTAACCCCTCATAGAATCTCAGTGCTTTAAAAAAGGGCTTCATGTGACTGTTCAGATAGTTGTCATTCATGTACTCTCTCTCTCTTACACACATACTACCAAGCTGATTTTGGTGTACCCATATTGGCCAGCTAGAAGGTATATTGGGTCAGCTGTGTTGAGAGCTTGCAATAGTGATGATGAACATTACAGCAGACCTGCCGGTGGTTGAATCTCTGGTTCAGGTTAAAAATAGAAAGATGAAGTGCTGATAGCATAGATGTGCCTAAGAACTCAAGAAAACCATTTGGGATAGGACCCCTCCTACAATGGGCAGCCTGGACTGGACAGTCAAACCAAGCCTCAAAGGTGCTTCCCTGAGAAGGCTGCCATATGTAACTCACTGGTTCACCATATGGGACGACTTTCCCTTGAACTGAATTCACCAGTTCTGGACCTCCCTAACCCTAGAAAGAAATGAAATTTAAAGAAAAACCCTACTGACACAAACTGTTCATACCATAATGACAATCTTCTCCTGAAAGAACTTTCTGGAAGAAACCCTGTGAGCTGTACATTCTGTATAATTTGTAGTTTCTATCTTCTCTCATCTTCTGATATATTTGCCTCTTCTCTTTAAAACGGTTGCCTGCTGAAAAGTCATTTTCATTCAACACATAGCAGAAAAAAGCAAATCGGCAAAATAGATTAAAAAAAAATGGAGCTGTACAATCATTTAGACACGTCCTAAATGTAGCACACACAGTTACCTTGAAAAATCTTTCCAATTACATCAGCCTTCAGACATCTTTGATTTGAAGGGAGGGCCTTGCTATGACTTGCAAGTTCAGTTAGAGAGCATATGCTGTTCTCTGCAGTTACACCTGCCCTGTGCAGTGACCTCTTCTCTAGCCCCAATGATATAATCATTGCGTCTTTTAGAATGTATGTTGATATTCTTCAGGTGCTATTTCTTCATAATTGTTTTAATGGATTATTTCTATAATACTTATTTATGTTATTATAAATCACAGTGGGTTTTAAAAATAAACAGTAAATAAATACTTAATTGCTACAAAAAGAGAGAGATACTAGCAGCATTTCAGTGCAGTGGGCTAGCATTTGACCTAGATGGAAGGCAAAAAGGTTCCGAAGTGGGTTGAGATCATAGCTCCCTGTTGAAGACTGCAATCACAACAACCCTAGAAGGATCCATATGGGAGGAAGCTACCCTGAATATATTGCTAGTCTTCAGGCAAAGAATAGGATCCATTGACATTTGGATTCAAATCACCTCAACAATGTTCAAATTAAAGACAGAAGTAGAAACATGTTATTAGTATCAGCATAAGTTTCTAGAATACAAGACGTGAATGTTGACTTTTTTGTAACTTTGGTCTGGACCCAGCTCTCTTATCCTAGATCAGTGTTTCTCAACCTTGACAATTTTAAGGCATGTGGACTTCAACTCTCAGAATTCCACAGCCAGCAATGCTGGCTGTAGAATTCTGGGAGTTGAAGTCCACATGCCTTAAAATTGTCAAGGTTGAGAAACACTGTCCTAGATTAAGCATGATTTTTTTTGTGTATTAAAACACAGGTACCCAAACAGGCAGACTAGCTTCAGAAGAGTAACTACTAATAATAGCTCATCTGCACTATAATTAAGAACATGCTTCTGAAACAAAACTGCTCTTTTCTGTTCACCATTTTTCAAGTTTATTATTAGAATTATTTGCCAAAATGTCAAAGCCTAAACTTCCGATAATGTAATCCTTCGAAGAGATATGCAAAGAAGAACAAATAGCATAAATGTCTTACAAAAATAGCAGGCATCCTGCTGTCTTCCATTATGGTTTAACACATGCAGAGCCAAAGTTCTGGGATCAAAAACCATTTCAAATCAAAATTATGGAGACTGCATGATGAGGCAAGGTAGTATCTTTTAAATTGAGGGCTTGGTTTCTCTGATTTTTTTTAAAATCCAGAACCAGCAATCTTCTCTAAATGATTTTATGTCAAGCTCAAAAATCAGTCTATAAATTCCTAAACCATTTGACTGTTGGTTAAAACATGAGTCAAATTGTTTATTAACTTGTAGTCATTAATCCTATCAGCTAAGTTTTAGCAACTAATCCTATCAGCTAACTAATCACTACGGACTTCTCCATCACAGCAAGAATCCATAAGGGATCTTAACCAGATGGACAGAGAACTTCCATGCTGTTGTGAAAACAAAGAATTCCTCTTAAAATTTCTGCTGCTATAGTTTTGCCTGTTTGATAAGTAAAATGGTGCAGTAGACTCCTTCACGAAAAAACAAAATAAATATCTGAAAATTGTTGACAGTTCCACTTAATAACAGGACATAACAGTTGATCAAATTCCACTTTTTTTAAAAAAAAAAGGGGGTTAAAACTGAGAATTTAATAAATCTTTTATGCAGCGCTATCATAGCACTTTATGAAGTGAAAATTGGAAAAGACAAACATCTGCAACAGTGGCAATAAAGAGACCAAAGAAGCAAAGTAACCCAAGCCTGCCACCCTAAAATAATATTAAAGAATAATAAGGCACAGCAGAGACATCTGCCCATCAGCATTCTTCAGAAGATGCCAGCAATTAAGGATGCCAAACTGAAAGCATACTTCTTAGATGGAAGGAGGGGACAAGAAACTATCAATATGTTCTTAATAAATGTACCATTTTTTGTTAGGTGCAGTTTGAAAGAGGACCAGGATACCAGTAGGAAACATTCTGGATTACTTTTAGTATCAGAAATTAGAAGACAATTAAAAATAGGTCCCACTTTGATTGCCTCTTTAAATGACCTCAGTTATATAGGATTACATGCCAAACAATAAAGCTGGTGGGCAAGGAATTTGTTACTTTATCAACAATTACATTTGCAGATATTTTAGTAATTAAATCATATTTTTTTTAAACTGAGATTTGTTAAGGCCAGATCTTAAGAACACACAGAGCATGTCCTTGCCTAAAAGGGCTCTGGAATAAGATGGACTGCAATTCAATATCAAATCCCATTAGCAAGTCTGGGGTCTCCTGCCAACACAGCCATTTAGGAAATCATCAGCCAACTATTAATGCCTCCTCCATCCTGAAGTAAAGCCTCAGCATGAATTGCTATTGCTAGCATCCCTTGTCACTGGTTTTCATAGATCCAAAGCATTTAGTATTCTCTCCTAGTACAGCTGAATCTCTCAATGATTGAACAGTTCTGAAGTTCTGTTTAGACTCATTCCGTTTATCTCTTTTAAATATACAATATAAAACAATATGTTATTGTACATTTGAGCAACATTGGCACAAACATCCCATAAGTCATTGTTCTGTTACATTCAAACACCATGAGATGGCTTGACTTTTTTTCAGCGTCAAGAATGTGCAAATGTCTACATTAGGTTTAAGAGGCTAGCACCATGGACAGCTCCCAGCCTCTGCTTTAGATGGGAGGCAGTGGGGGCGGGGGAGGGGGCAGGATGGAGAGAACAGGTCAAGTGGAGCATTGGAAGGATAGCAGCAGAGCTTCCTCAGCACTTATTTTCAGTGTTGGGAGTGGATATACACCTCCCCCCTCCCCTGTGCCAAGATGAAAAGAAAGGAAAATTACAAAAGGCAAGTGACTTGCAGTAATGGTCTTTTATGACCATTATCTAATTTTTTTAAGAACCATTATGGCAGAGCTCCATCAGCAGGAATGACAAATACATGCAGGGATTTCTTTAACTGGGGTAGGTGGAGGGGAATAAATGCCCTGGCTGTACTGTGATTCACAATAGCAGCAGGGAGACCCAAACCGTAAGACAGACAGGTTGGGCTTTCTCGAACAAGGGCATAGCCAGGGTTTTTTTTTCTTCCGCACGAGTCAGAACCTTGCCGATAAATAATGCCTCAGGCTGATCCATTAATATGTTCAGGGATTCTCCCATTTGGAAGAAAGAAAAAAGGACACCCTCCCCCAGCTGCATATACAAGGCCCTAAATGCATCCACGTTGTCCATGGCACCTTGCTGTGATAGCAAAGACTGATTCTGCTCATAGATGAAAGATACAATGTCATGGACCAAACCATCCCATCTTACCTATTCTCAAATCATCTAGTTGTTGCAGTTGTGAAAAGGGCCTGATGTAATTCTGGGTGTGCCCCCCCCCAATGGAGTGTTGAAAAGGTGGCTATAGCAAACCTTCTCCATCCCCAAACACAGACCAAAGTCTACCAAAGGCTTGCAGGGCAGGAGGAAGAATGGGAAGCAGGTCCATGATGCTACCTGTACAAAAGAGGGCTATGCCCCCCCTGCAGCTCCACAATCCTCACCCCTGGTTTTATTCTTCCAAGAGAAGCCCTAGTTGAGTCAAGCCTTTGGGTGAGAAGGGGATGAAGAGGTGAGATGTATCTAGAAGGTTGGGGGTGCTGTGGAGGGCCCCCCTGAATTTCCTAACGGTCCAGGCTTATAGTCCAGTGTTTGTTGGTGCTGGAGGAGTCCTTTGTGGACCCCCCCTCGCCTTCATTCTTGAGGTCCTGGAAGACCTGCGTGAAGAAGTGCGGGTCAGAGTTGATCTGCAACATCTTGCTGCTCAGGCCCTGGATGATGGAGAGGCAGCGGTCCCAAAAGCGCTCCTTGTCACCCTCAACCAGAAAGGGCTTAAGCGGGTAGGAGATTTCATTGCCCATATAGGAGTAGGCCAGGTAGAGGCAAGTGAGGAAGGAGGCTTGAAGCTCCGCCTGGCTGCCAATCTGGTCGCCTTGCAGCGCCTCGCGACACAGCAGGTACACAAAGACAAGGTTGGCGGGGGTGATGAAGCCTTGGTCCTGCCAGCCCTGGAGCAGGAGCGAGCGATCCACACTGCGGAACCAGCCGATGAGTTCGCCAGGGCTCAGGTCCTTGAGCCTGTAGCATCGGCGGCACACGAAGTCCCCTAGGCAGCGGAGGAGCTCGCCCGTAGAAGCCTGCACGATCACTCTCCGCGGGGAGCCGGCTGCCGAGCGGTTGCTGGGCAGCGGCGGGGGCGGCGGCGGTTGTCCGTTGTCTTGGACAGAGACGGGCACAGTAGGCACTGGAACAGCCAAGGGACCCTGTTTGGCGCCGTCCGGCTGGGACTTGCGCACGTTCTCGCGGTTGCGTTGCTGCACCAAAGGATCAGACGCGCCTCCGGAGCCCGGCTTGGGCGTCACCTTCTTCGTGTTCTTCTTCTTTTTGGCAGAGGCGGCCACCAGGCGTTTCCAGGTGAGGGCAGAAATCAAAACGCCGGGCCGCTTCAAGCGGCTCTCGCCTTTGCCGTGAGCCCTGCCCGGAGCCGCCTTCTCGCCGAGGACCCCATTGCTGCCTTTCCCAGACCCGCCGGGAGACAGGGATAGCACTGTACCCATCCTGCAGGCGGCGGCGGCGGTGGCGGCGGCGACTTCACCAGCTGCTGCTTTACGAGAATGTCCTTACAGCTTCTGCCCAGACGCGCCCCGCACACCGGCCATGGGCTGGGGCGGGACGCAGTGGCTGCGCCGGCGCCTTGAAGCTGATCTTACAGAAGGAGCCGCAGCGAAACACACCAGGCGGGAGAAGTCGGGTCAACCGACGTCCGGGAGCAGCGTTCTTCGAACTCGCTGCAGCTCCAAGCGAAGCCCGCCGTGCCCCGCCCCGCCTCTGTATGAATAGCCAATCCCAAGCCTCTCCTTCTTTTCCCTGGGAGCCAATGGCCGCGAGGCATAGCCGCCCCCCCCTCTCCCCGCCGATCCGATGCCGCTTCCTTTTCTCCTGGGGAACGTCTCTCTTCCGGGGGAGGGGGCTTCCAAATAAAAATAGAAAAGGGAAGCTCGGCCCTTGCCAGGCCCCGTCCTTCCCCTACTTAATTTCATTCATCTGCTCTTAAAGCAAGGGCGTGACCTACAAGGCTCGCGGAGGCCACGTCCAGCTCTCCAGAAATTGATGTCCTGCGTCTCCTGTTATTCCTCGCTATTGATTGCATTGCGCGGGGAGGCTGGCACATCCGGGTGGTTAAATAATCTTCATTCCTGATACAAAATGTTAGACGACGCGCAGACAAGTACTTTTCCTAAATAATATCTTGGCTTTGCATAGCCAGGACTAGGAAAGAAGGCTTTTTGTAAAAAAGCCATGCTTTAGGATTAGCATGCTCTCTTCCCTCGTCCTCTTCTAAGGAGGATCTCCATGCTTCTAAGGCAGGTCTTCCCCAAGCATGACCCCTGCATCTGCTCCATTTGAATCCTATAATCCCATAGCTATGTTGTTTTAGGTTTCTGGGAGTTGACGTCAAGCCAAGGGATCTGTTTTGTGCATAGGGCAGAAAGCAATTTAAAAGTTAACCAGCATCTTAAAGGTCAGCAGAATGCAAATGAATAAAAATAGATATAGTCTTGAGTTTTCCACTTAACCTCTGTCATGAGATTGGCAACCGAAGTCTTTATTAACTGTAATCTTTAAACTCTTAAGGTTGACTCCTCCTAGAGTACATTCAGTAGGTAAGAAATGAGCAATGCAGAAATAATGCAATGGCCGCAAGTTTTTGCTTGGTCTCTGGTGCAGGTTTCATACTAGGGCATGTCCAGACCATGCAGCATAATATGAGGAGAACACTGTCCGGAGGCTATTTTGATGCCTCATCCAGATCACCAGAGCTCTGCAGAAGCAGTGTTAGATAAGCGTGGGAATATATTTGAAATTGTTTGCTTTCATCCAAGCCAGGGTTTCTTCTAGACTGAGGCATCATTTCTGCATCTGAATTGAAATTACCTGAAAAAGGTAATTGGGCGAGACTAACATATTGATAGCAGTTCAAACCTACGCTAAACTGACAATATATACTTTAAATATAAATCACATTGATGCTTGCTAGATTCTATAGAACAGTCTTACAGAATCAAGCAGACACCACTACTCTGTGCGTAAGGGTGGTACACACACTTGCTCTTGCTGAATTTCATTTAGCATCAATACAGTCAATGGTGTTTGATGCTAAAAGGTGTGGTTCAGGATCAATGAAGAGCCATAGGTTGTCAATTGTTACGTATCAATTGTTAAGCTTGGATTATCTCATAAAATGTTTTTGTGTGGGGATCCATGGTTCAATAGATAATAATAATAATAATAATAATAATAATAATAAATTAGGCTTTGGAAGAATATCTGAAGAACAATGATGAAGATGCACTGAAATTAGTATATCAGGAAGGCTTACTAACTACTGGAGAGACCAAACTGGCCTACAAGAAAGACCAAATGAAGAACAGAATAGAGGCATGGAAGACAAAGCACTACATGGCCAATACATGAAAAAATAGCTGGGAAAGCAGATAATAATAAAACCTGGCAATGGCTAAGAGCAGGAAAATTGAAGAAAGAGACCGAGGGACTAATTCTGGCTGCACAAGACCAAGCCTTAAGGACAAATGCATACAAAGTCAAAATTGAGAAGACAGCAACAGACAGTAAGTGCCGCATATGCAAAGAAGCTGAAGAAACAGTGGACCACCTGGTAAGCTGTTGCAAGAAGATTGCACAGACTGACTACAAGCAGCGGCATGACAAAGTAGCAACAATGGTGCATTGGAAGATCTGCAAAAAATATCATTTCCCTGTAAGCAAAAACTGGTGGGATCATAAAATAGAGAAAGTCATAGAAAAATGATAAAATTAAACTGCTCTGGGACTTCAGAATTCAAACAGACAAGCACCTGCAACATAACACCCCAGACTTAACAATTGTCGATAAGAAAGACAAAAAAGTCTGGATAGTGGACGTGGCAGTGCCTTGAGATAGCAGAATAGAAGAGAAAGAACTGGAGAAGATAACAAAATACAAAGACCTACAAATAGAAATAGAAAGACTGTGGCAAAAGCACGCAAGGGTAGTACCAATAGTAATAGGCTCTTTGGGTGCAATCCCAAAACAACTGGAGCACCACTTGAACACCATTGGCATTGACAAATTCGTTATTAGTCAATTGCAAAAGGCGGCCTTATTAGGAACTGCTTCCATCCTGCGACGATATCTGTAATACCATCAAACATCCACATCTGCCTATCCCAGGTCCTGGGTAAGGACTCGATAGGTAGACAAAATGCCAAATCCAGTCTGAACATCTGGCTGACTGTGCAATGATCCATAATAATAATAATAAAGTTGGAAGGGACCTTGGAGGTCATCGAGTCCAACCCCCTGCTCAGGCAGGAACCCCACACCATTTCAGACAAATGGCTGTCCAGTCTCTTCTTAAACACTTCCAGTGTTGGAGCATTCACTGCTTCTGGAGGCAGGTTGTTTCACTGGTTAATTGTTCTAACTGTCAGGAAGTTTCTCCTTAGTTCTAAGTTGCTTCTCTCCTTGATCAGTTTCCATCCATTGCTTTTCGTCCTGCCTGATTGAGAAGTTCACCAAGATCAATGGGAGCAAGCTTCTATATTGACCCAGACACGTTGCATATTTATTTTGAAGCAAGTTGCCTGTAGCAGATTATCTGCACGGTGTCTGGCCTTTTCCAAATAGCCAAGTAGCTAATCTCTTAGGATAAATATAATCTTACAGCAAGTTTTAGCTTGCTTTAGATGTTTATCTCAAGCTTCTGTCTTCCATTGGTTGAATCTCTGTTTTGCAGTATATTAATCACATTCTGATTGTACCTTTGATGTTGGTGCCAACATGGATTTGAGATTCAAGTAATAAAGCCTTTATTCTACAATCTCTCAGGATCAGATCCTATCTCAGGGTGACCCCACACTCTTCTTGGTAAGAGGGGAAGAAGGAAGATAACCATTGCCATTTACCAGTTACAATGTTTCACAATGATCTTTCAGGGGTTCTCAACCTTGGCAACTTTAAGACTTGTGGACTTCAATTCCCAGAATTCCTCAGCCAGCTTTGCTGGCTGAGGAATTCTGGAAGTTGAAGTCCACAAGTCTTAAAGTTGCCAAGGTTGAGAACCCCTGAATTCTATCTCCTAAAAGAGCCTCCTCTCTAATCCACAGCATCTAGGAATTAGTGCATAAAAACCATTGCATGAGAAAATGAAAAGCCAAGAATAGAAAGCTTTATTGGACTAACAAACTGGTGTAGAAATACACGAACCTTCTATATAACTCTTGATTTGATATTTTTATTTGATGACAGATGCCACAAAAAAAGTGCATACAGGAGTCCCAGTACATTTTTTTTTTTTGTCTACTAAAAGATGCATCTGTGTGCATTTTTTTTTTTTCATTTCTCCTTTGGATCAAGCCAGGAAGTAAGGTGCAACACGAGGAAACAAACTGATGTCCAAATAGACATTTGCAACGGCTCATGATGATAGGAGATGTTACGAAAATAAATCCTGCGTGGGCAAAGACTTGGACTGGTTTCAACCAGTTGACAAGGTTTAAAAAACACATTAACCTGCATTGATGGCTGAGAAAGCCTGGATGCAATACCTCAGATCTTTTGATAAGGACAGTGGAGTGTATGGGGGGGTTTGGGAGCCCTGAACAAGAAGGGGTCATAGTGTGCCTGGATAACCCAAGGTATGGCTTTACTAAAGTTAAAAAAAAAAGTCTATTTTGTAAATATTTCTTAGTCAACTGATAAGTGCGACCACTAATACTACATAGAGTAGAGCTACATAACATTTCTTTTAGCCTTTGCACAAATAATAGGTGGAGTGAATTTATCTGTTAATTTACTGTTCTACTTCAGGCTTTGCTTCTATAATGGAATAATCTTCATTCATTCCGATAGCACACTAATATGGCAGGGATAAGGCGAGGCAAGGGCTCTTCTGAAATCTAACGCCGCTGTTTTAACCAGGTTTCTTTCTAAAAGTTCCTTAAAGATAGAACGGTGGCTTAAATACAGGAAGCCAGGCCAGGGCTCTTTTGTATTCGAAAGGCTCCAGATATGGATAACCATTTCTTCTTCCCTCTGATTGAAATGCCAGAAGAGCTCATTCATAAATGTACTAACAGCAGCTGGCAAGCAACGTGAATCAATCTACTCCACGAAGCACATATGAAAAAAGGGGACTTGCCACTGTAGGATAGAATGATGGCTACTCACTGAAGGGTTTAAAAGTGATATCATAAAAATGGTGTGCTTCTGAATTCCAACAGCTGCATAGAAAGCTTTGTGGGCTCACATTTCTTCTGAACCAAACTTGCTTAGGCCTCAGCCAGGCTGTTCCCCATGTTCTTATGTTTTCCTGGGGTCGTTAAGCTTTTTACAGGTGTTTTCTCTTTTGAGACTGCATCCAGCTCATGTTTATTTCAAAGTAAATTCCACCAAAATCAGTGGGATTTACTCCTGAATAAACACCCAGAAGCTCCTAATTGCTCTAGCTCTAAAGACAAGATCTGAGGGCAGGAAACAATATCAGATTGGAAACCAGACTTGTAAAGAGAGAAATTAGACTACCGACAATGTATTATCTCACACATAGAACACAGAAGGAACAAATTTCTGAGGAACAGTTTTATTTAAGTCCTTAATACTTCTGTCTTTCTTTTCTATAGCAACCGCAATACATTCATGCATTTCATATTAGAGCAGTGCACGTATGATTTGATAATATAGGCCAGTGAAATACACTGTAAAATGTTGGGAGAATGAACAGACATTAGATCTGCATTCAGCTCCAGAATTACTTTGCAGTCTCCAAAGCCTTCTCTCATCATGCCACTGAAGTTCAGACAAATGTTTGCCATTTTCAGACTGGAAACCAAATAAAAGAAAACATTGCTTTAGCTTTAGAATGGAGTTAAAAACCTTGTAAACTCAAACAGAAAATCCCCCCCTTACTTTGCACTATGGTACATTTCTTCAGTATAACAGCTTGGGGGGGGGCAACTGCCAGCCAGCACAAAGTTGCCTCCTCCCTCGTTAAATAAATAGGATGAGCTGCAGCTCATTATTTAATGTTTCCTCCAGTTTGCTTGTCAATTTTTGGCCATGTAGATGCTATTACTCTGTCATGTATCTCAGGCAGCATAGCCAATAGGAAGAATTTATGGAAGTTACATTAGGGCCACCAGATGTAGATTGCAAATCTCCATGTGATCACTAGATGGAAGCAAAAGATTTTAGCATTATCTCTCTGGTTCCCTCTCCTGGCTCTACAGATATGTGTACGCCAGACCTGTATCTCTTAACATGCATCTGATGGCCCTAAGATAAAATCAATCATTTAGAGCAGAGGTCTTCAAACTTGGCTCTTTTATGACTTGTGGACTTCAACTCCCAGAATTGTTCAGCCAGGCATGCTGGCTGAGGAATTCTGGGAGTTGAAGTCCACAAGACATAAAAAGGCCAAGTTTGAAGACCCCTGATTTAGAGAGTAATAATCCCTGCTTTATGCAATTGCAGGTCCTGATTGGTTGCTGTAATTTGTCAGTTACTTTTACTTGTAAATGTAATTGAATTTATGTCAGACTATCACATCCAGAGCCTTTAGCTCCGAAAAGACCACTAACTTGGTCCCATCAAGGAAAAAGGTGCTAACTTTGATTAGGAGGATTCTCTGCTTGGGGCAGAGGTTGTGTGGAATAGGACTTGAAGGACATCAATAAAATGATGTTTACCTTGTCTGAAACTACTATCAGATCCTTAGTCTTATCCCACTTTAATTGATAAACATAAAAAGGAATGCATCTGACTTATATGTATTTCTTGTGCTTTAGGAGCAGCACAGGAACTCTACTGCTTAATATTCTTCATAGCAAAAGCAGGAGTCTTTCAATTGCTTAAAATCTGATATGGTTGTGATGATACACAATTTACTGGATCACAGTCCACCAAAAATCCCAATTAGGATTCTCTCTATAATGTATACTGAAGATCTTTGCTGTCATCTAGGGCTAATTTGGATTATGCAGTCCACATCATGATGCTCAACTGCCCGACTGCCCTTTAAACAATTTCCTCAGCCCCAATCCCACCTTAATCTTTTTTTAATAGTTTCAATTTTGATTAAGTTTGATGGGGCAGATGGGATTTGAGATAGCGAGAAGGATTGACTTGTTCCGTTCCATTCATTTGCTTTTCAAATCACTCTGCTTTTGAGATTAAAAGAACATTTCTTCTTTTTCAAAACACCCTCCCCCACAAGTCCTTCTTTCTTATTTGGGGAAATTAAGCCTCCATTTGTGGTATATCGGATGTGACAGCATGATTATGTACAGGATCCATGCTCCGATGCGTT